TTTGAGTAGATGTCTCCTTCTCCCCTGTTTGATATGGCAGATACTTTGTACATGAACTTCGGGTACTGGGATTTTAGGATCTTGGAAATCCAGTCAGATTCATTTGAGACTGTGTATCAAAGATTCTGAATTGAGAATACCAGAACATTAGAGGCATATCTATGCACCTTTAAATGAAAGGTAGAAAGTGAGCTAATCCATTTCCTTCTAGATTCATAAAAAAGTGATAAGTGCTCATTTGACGTTTCAGAAAGCAAGCCTTCAAGTGGCATCTGACTGTGTCGAGTTCTGGTCCTCTGGCCTGAAGTCAGTACTTGCTGAGAGGTCTAATAATTTTTTACCAATTAGAACTTCTTTGCTCGGTAACCAGACACACAGTCTTGGAGAAGTGAAGGGCTTTCTGATTAGTTTTAATAAAAATAAGATTAAACTTCTACCATGTGAAAACAAGCTCCCTGCCATTTTTTTGGATTATCCTTAAAGCCAAGTCCTGTAAGATCAAAATATCACAAGATCTTCCTAAATGGTTTTGTTCTATTTTTATTACAGGCTTTAAAATTTTTTTTATTATTATTGATTGACTGATTTAGAGAGAGAGAGAGAGAGAGAAACATTGATTTGTTGTTCCACTTATTTATGCATTCATTGGTTAATTCTTGTATGTGCCCTAACCGGGGATTGAACCTGCAGCCGTGGCATATCGGGACGACACTCGAACCAGCTGAGCTACCTGGCCAGGGCTGTCATGGGCTTTTTACATATATATCAAATGAGGGAGACTTAATGTAGTTTTTCAGATAGCCTTCTTGTGCTTAGTTCCGTACTGACTTGTTTCCTTTATATTGGCCACAACTCTAATTTGAGCATTGTATCTTGGAAAAGGGGCAACAACTTGGGACTCACATAATAGCTGGTAGGGATTGTAAGTGACTCTCTTTCAGATTACTTGGGTATATCCGTGCCATGGGAGTAAATACCAAGAAATAATCTAAATGGGACAAGGGGGAAGAGAATTAGTGGCTAATAAGGCCTTTTCCCATGAGGGCTATAAACAAAGCTCCTCTCAGAATTTTAAGATAAATTTGTGGACATGTCCCAGTCTGAGTTGTACAGAGCATGACAAGCTATTGTGAAGAGAAGTCTAGAAATGGCATTCAGCTAGTGGTTTTTAGGTCTCTACTGTGTGTCAGGATTTGTGTAAAAGGACGAGCTATATGAGGGGAGGGTTAGAAAGACTGACAGTTCAGGTGTTTATTATGATGTTGGGTGTTTTGAGGGTAATTAATTGCATGCCTTGGGAGAAGTTGTCTGAAAAGGTTTTGGACAGAGGCCTGAAGGGGAATCAGGGCTCTTGACCACTCTCGTGCCAGGCATCCCTTTGGCTCTCTACTGAGGTCTATAATGTTTCCCTTACAGCACACAAAATACATAGAATCACGCAAGGAATCTATTATTGAATGCCTATCAAAATATTGAAAAAATACATGTGTGATTAGTAATACAGGTGTTTCTTTATGGATATATTAAATACCAAGATCCAATGGCAATCTAAAAACTATAATTTCAAGTATTAATGAGTGTAACCAATAAATCAGGATTGCAGCTGCAACCACTACAGTGAGATATGAAAGTATCTATGATTTCTATTGGTGGTAAATTCCTAGACACCCCTCATACTACATTTGTTGCCACCATTCATAACGGAAGGAAATGCTACATTTCAGTTAGAAGTCGGTGACAGTGAAGGTGTTACTTTCCCCACTTCCAAGTTTACATGACCCTCAAAATTCTATCCATGGACCCCAGATTAACTGCTAGATTAGGTGGAGCCAGCGGGAGAGGGGAGAGTAGGGTAAAGATCTTAAAGGAGGAGGGACCATGAGTGAGGCAGCTCCAAAATTTTAGGGTAAACATACCCCCTGACTGTGAAATAAGGAAGACAATAGCTAACAGGTGAAGCTGGAAAACCCATTTAAGAGACAGTTGGAAAAGTATTAACACTGAAACATGAGAGATGATATTAAGGAATTATTGGAGTTTTATAGATGTGGTTGGAATTGTGGTTAAAATTAAAAGTGTATCTTTTAGCCCAGATGGAGTGGTTCATGGATTGAGCATCCTCCCATGGACTGAGAGATCTCGGTTCAATTCCCGGTCAGGGCACATGCTTGTGTTGCCAGCTCAATCCCTAGTAGGGGTGTGCAGGAGGCAGCCATTCAGTGTTTCTCTCTCACGTCGATGTTTCTATCTCTCCCTTTCTCTCTAAAAGATCAATAAAAACATATTTTTTTAAAGTGTATCTTTTAGAAATATATAAATATGTGTGCTTGAATTAGATGTCTTAGATTTGCTGTAAAATGATTGAAGATGAGTAATGTGTAAGAGATGAAACAAGGTTAGCTGTGTTGATAATTGTTGAAATTGGATGATAGTAGATGGGGGTTCATTAAACCATTTTCTCTGCATTTAAATATGTTTGAAATTATCTATAGAAAGTTTTAAAATGTAGTAGATAAGATTAGCCATCTGTAGAGAGTCAGTATTTGTGTGGACTGAGAAGTTAGGAAGAAGAAGCACTCAGTTAAGTTAACTAAAATGTAATTTCAGGGGATTATGATTCTAAAAACGTATCAAGCCCTGGCCAGTTTGGCTCACTGGTTAGATCATCGGCCTGCAGACCAAAGAGTCGCGGGTTCGATTCTGGTCAAGGGCGCGTACGTCGGTTGTGGTTTGGTCCCTGGTCCTGGTCGGGCTCGTGCGGGGGAGGCAACCAATCGATGTGTCTCTCTCATGTTGATGTTTCTCTCCCCTTCCACTCCATCTGAAAATAAATGGAAAAATATCCTCAGGTGTGGATTTTTGAAAATAATAATAATAGCCTGGCCGGTTTGACTCCATGGTTAGAGCGTCAGCTTGTGGTCCACAGAGACCCAGGTTCGGTTCTCGCTAAGGGCATGTACCTCGGTTGCAGTTTTTCCCCGGCCCTGGTTGGGTCGTGCGGGAGGCAGCCACTCAATGTGTCCCTTTCACGTCGATGTTTCTCTCTCTCTCTCTTCCTCCCACTCTATCTGAACAAAAAATGGAAAAATGTCCTCAGGTGAGGATAAAAAATAATAAGAATAAGAATAATAAAAAGATAAAAACGTATCAAAATATAACATGGTAGAGAATGCTTCTGTGATACAGTTCATTTATAGCCTGAGCTTAGTAACTGCAGTTAAACTAAGTCCTAAGAAGGGAAATGGTTAGGTTAAGCTGAAGAATTATGCCCTGGCCAGGTAGCTCAGTTGGATATAGCATTGCCCCAATACACCAAGGTTGTGGATTTGATCTCCAGTCAGGGCACTTACAGGAATCAATTAATGCATAAATAAGTGGAACAAAAAATCAGTGTTTCTTTCTTTCTCAAATCAATAAATAAAAGTATTTTTTAAAATTTAAAACAAAAAGAATTACTGTTGTCTGGCCGATGTGGCTCAGTGGTTGAGCGTCGACCCATGCACCAAGAGGTCGCTGGTTCGATTCCCAGTCAGGGCACATGCCCAGGTTGTGGGCCCAATCCCCAAAGGAGTGGTTCATGCAGGAGGCGGCCAATCAATGTTTCTATCTTTCTCTCCCTTCCTCTCTCTCTCTCTCTAACATCAATAAAGAAAAATAAAAAAGACAGGTAGTTTAGGGAGGAGGGGATCAAGGGGGGAAAAAAGAGAGACATCTGTAATACTTTCAGCAATAAAGATAAAAATAAAAAGACAAGTAGGTTAGCCTGACTGGTGTGGCTCAGTGGTTGAGTGTTGACCCATGCACCAAGAGGTCGCTGGTCCTATTCCCTGTCATGGTATGTGCTGGGGTCGTGGGCTCATTCCCCCTGGTAGGGGGTATGCGGGAGGCGGCCAATCGATGTTCTCTCTCATAGATGTTTCTGTCTCTCTGTCTCCTGTCCTTTCTCTCTAAAGAAATTAATAAAGAAATAAAGAACTGTTTAGCCCTGGCCAGTTTGGCTCAGCGGTTGAGCGTCGGCCTGCAGACCAGAGAGCCCCAAGTTCAGTTCCCACTAGGGGCACGTACCACCAAAAAAAAAAAAAAAATTAAGACAGTTTAATTGGGATTCGGAGTTATTCTTTTTGCCCTGACCAGTTTGACTCCGTGGTTAGAGCGTCAGCCCGCAGACCAGAGTCACAGGTTCGATTCCAGTCAAGGGCAAAATTGCGGTTTGTCCCTGGCCCAGTCAATGTGTCTCTCTCACGTTGATGTCTCTCTCTCTCTCTCTCTCTCTCTCTCTCTGTCTCTGTCTCTGTCTCTCTCTGAAGATAAATGGAAAAATATCCTTGGGTGAGGATTTTTTTCTTTAAAGTTCTTTTCATAAAATAAACCTGTGGTATTGTGGTAGAATAAAAATTATATACTTGCTCTTTGTCCCAGTTTCTGGCACAGAGCTCATAAGACCCTTGGCACCCCTGACCTGGTAGGAGAGGGACTGGTGCCAGAAGAAGGCTGGAACTGTCAGCCCAGCTCCAGCCTGGCGAGGGGCAGGGCTGGGGAGGGCATCAGGCACAGTGGAAGCGCTAGCTGTCTCACCCATGTAAGGAGGCCTTGCGGGAACTCTCAAGCTGCGTGGTGGATGAACCTGCCTGCTGGGGGGGCGGCACCTGGAGGGGAGGGCGTGGAAGTCTGCGCCCGCCCGGCCCCTTGTCCTGTGCATCTCTTCCACTTGGCTGTTCCTGAGTTGATTCCTTTCTAATAAACCAGTAAATGCAAGTGAAGTGTTTTCCTGAGTTCTGTGAGTTGTTGTAGAAAATTATTGAACCTGAGGTATGGGTGGGCCCTGGGACTCGCAACTGGTATCTGAAGTGGAGCAGTTTTGTGGGACTGAGCCCCATGACCTGTGGGGTCACTGATGCAGGGAGTGTGTTGGAATTGCACTGCGGGACACCAGTGGTGCTGGAAGGCGGCAGGTGAGTCAGGTGGACCATGTGTGACGGTGCATCCACCTTCTCTTACAGCACCTGACCAAGCAGGTGGAGCTCCTGCGGCAGATGAATGAGCAGCACGCGAAGGTCTATGAGCAGTTAGATGTCACGGCAAGGGAACTGGAAGAAACAAATCAAAAGCTTGTTGCTGACAGCAAGGCCTCACAGCAAAAGATTCTGAGGTAAATATTCTAGAATCCATTTCAGAAGCCCTGGGCAGGAGTCATGTAGTGTAAACTAGAATAGAGCATGGGTTTGTGTGAACATGGGGTAAGGTTTACCTTAATTCTTCTTACTGTTGTTGTTAATCCTCATCCATTTTTTCCATTGATTTTTAGATAGAGTGGAGGGTGGGGGGTGGAGAAACGTCGATGGGGGAGAGAGACATCAATTGGTTGCCTCCCCGAGGCTGTGGATCAAACCTGCAACCCTTCAGTATGTGGGCCGATGCTCTAGCTGCTGAGCCAAACCGGCCAGGGCTAATTTAATTCTTTTTTTTTTTTTTAATCCTCACCCGAGGACACTTTTCCATATTTTGTTCAGATAGAGTGGGAGGGGGAGAGAGAGAGAGAAACATCGACGTGAAAGGGACACATCAAGTGGCTGCCACCTGCAGGACCCAACCAGGGCCGGGGACAAACTGTAACCGAGGTACATGCCCTTAGCAGGAACCAAACCTGGGTCTCTCTCTGGACCACAGGCCAATGCTCTAACCACTGAGCCAAACCAGCCAGGGCTAATTTAATTCTTGATGAAGAATAGAGATTAGGTAGGAGCCCTTTCCAGGTAAGTGAGCCCGGTCTGAGTGACTGGCAGCTAGTCTCTCCTCCCAGCTCTGCCTTCAATTTCACATGACAAGCAGCAGTCGGGTTTGTCTGTCCCTCACAGTCTGACTGAAACAATCGAATGTCTGCAAGCCAACATCGGTCACCTCCAGAGCCAAGTGGATGAGTTGAAGGCATCTGGCCGAGGGAGGAGGAGCCAGGGGAAGCATGACCAGCCATCAGCACCCAGCTTCTCGTGTCTGAAAGAGCTGTATGACCTGCGCCAGTAAGAGCCCGCCTTCCATGGCGTGTGTGTGGGGGGGGGGGCACCTCCGCACAGATGCCACCTGCACTCCTGTGGACTCGAAGTGCACTTAAGAAACACTGCTTGGCTATTAGACCACCAGTGGTTTGAACAAAGCCACTTAACTGAACATGCAAATTATAGAGTTCTTAGGTCTTAGCAATTTTGTGAAAACTCATTTTCTAAAGTCTTGGGAACATTATTTCCATGCTTTTAATGCGTTAAATCTTAGTTTAAAGTAAGATGCAATACTTCTGATAGACTACAAATGTTGGGGCTGTGTTTCACATTAGAGTGAAGAAAAAAAATGAAATTTCAATTAAAAAATCCTGGCAAACTTTCTTTTTTTATGCCTGTGCAGATGCCTTTACAGTCTAGTTAGGAGATTGTATCTCTGACTGAACTGTTGTTGAGCATGCTGTGTCCGGGGCTCTGCATGAGGGGCGGCAGGTGGAGTCGACCGTTCCTGCCCGCCCTCGTGGAGCTTTTCATCCCTCAGGAGGCGAGTGAGCAAATGATCACACAGATAAATAGTTACAAGTTGCCAAGTCCCCTGAACAGCTGTGTGTGTGACGATTCTCACCCTTGGCTCAGCTCATCAGATCACCTGGCAAGTTTTCTTACTGCAGTTCCCTTCCCTCAGGCCTAAATCACCATCTCGGTGTGGGCTAAAGCCACCAGGTCATTCTGACGTCTGTCCCTGGTTAAAACCACTGCAGCAGTGGCTGCATATTATGAACCACATGGAAAGCTTTGGAAGAACCCCAAGTCTAGGCGGCAGACCGGCTAGGTCAGAATGGGGGGGGGGGGGGCGTCAGTAATTTTTAAGACCACCTGGGTGAGTGGAACCTATCCGTGGTCGAGGACCCTGGGCCATTCTGATTCCCTTGAAAAATAGCACTCAGTTTACTGGTCTTAGGGAATGTGTGTTCTGGAGCACCTTCAGTGTTTAAAAACCAGGGTAAAGAATTACGTTTTCAAATGTTTCATTTGCCCGCCTCACACAGTTTCTTCAGCCTCTGCTCTAGTGAGGAATAGGGGGAATTCGGTCCCTGTCACGGCGCCTCAAAGATACTCAGCTGAGGACAGTCCCCATCCTGGCACCCGGTAACGGTCTCCCATTGTCCCTAGGCACTTCGTGTATGACCACGTGTTTGCCGAGAGGATCGCTTCCTTGCCGAGCCAGCCCAGCCCCGCCGAGGAGGAGAACCAGCAGCTGAAGAAGGCGGTGAAGACGCTGCAGGCGCAGCTGAGCCTGGAGCGGCAGCGGCGCGGCGCCCTGGAGGAGGAGTACGGGCTGGTGCTCCGGGAGAACGACGCGCTGGAGCAGCAGCTGGGGGCCGCCGGCGCCTACCGGGCCCGGGCGCTAGAGCTGGAGGCCGAGGTGGCGGAAGTGCGGCGGCTGCTGCATGCGGAGCGGCCCTTCGTGAACGGGGTTGAGAAGCTGGTGCCCGACTCCCTGTTCGCCCCGTTCAGAGAGCCCGACCAGAGCCTGCTGGAGGAGATGCTGCTGACGGTGCCCGAGGCCCAGCGGAGGCCCCTCAAGCGAAGCAGCAGCGAGTCGGTGCTCAGCAGCCTGGCGGGCGGCGACATTGTCAAGGGCCACGAGGAGACCTGCATCCGGAGGGCCAAGGCCGTGAAGCAGAGGGGCGTGTCCCTGCTGCATGAGGTGGACACCCAGTACAGCGCCCTGAAGGCCAAGTACGAGGAGCTGCTGCGGAAGTGCCAGCAGCAGGAGGGGGACTTGCTGTCCCACAAGGCTGTGCAGACTGCCAGGGCTCCAGGCAGGGACCCAGCTGTCAGGGACCCACCCGCCGCTGGTGCTGAGGAGCCTGCGGGCTCCCCCGCCAGCACAGCGCCCCCCGAGTACAAAGCTCTCTTTAAGGAGATCTTCAGCTGCATCCGCAAGACCAGGCAGGAGATCGACGAGCAGAGAACGAAGCACCGCTCCCTCCCCTCTCCTTCCTAATGGCCCCCGCTCCCTGCGCACGCCCTCCCCCATCAGCCCTCTCCCACTCTGCGAGCGTCTGTGCGTCTGTAGACCCCAGCGCCTGAAGCTGCTCCTGGCGGCTGCCTCGCTGCTTTGCTTACCCAGCAAGTGTGGATGTGCGGTGAGGACCGAGGACAGCTCCCGGGATCAGCTCCTGGACCCGGACCCCTTTACGCCTCACTGGAGGTCCCATGACACACTGCCTCTGGCTGGCGCTGAGTTGGCTGCCATTCCTGGAGAAGCCCCAGAAGCAGCGGGGGAGGTCTGTGCTCCGGGAGGGGGGCCTGGAGCTCCCACAGGACGTACTTGTGTATACAGCGCACAGTGTGTTGGGGGAGGCGAGGTGAACTAAGCTGCTCCTGGCTCACTGTCTCACAAATGGCAGTCAGCTGCCAACTGAACTGTCCACCGCACTGTGGACGCTGCGAATTCATTAAGAATGCTCAGGAGAAAGTAAGGGTCTAATCCAAAGAAACAGTGTTAGCAAATACTCCATACCTTTGAGTTTCGTTTGCCACCAGTTGGACTGTGACAGGAATCCTAACAGATCAAACCCGCTGAGCACCAAAGTCAGCCCGTTGGCCTGCACTCCAAGGGCCCTCACCCCACATCCAGATGTCTTCACACAAAGTATACACTGGTTAGGAGAGCCGAGTACACGCCTTCCTCTCACATTCAAACGAAGGGGACAGACCTCTCCTGTGCTGGCTGAGCGGGATGGGCTTGGCTGCAGGAGCCCCGTCTGCTGCCTTGTCGAGCAGGGTTGGAACAGACTCCTCGTACTCCCATACTTTAATTTAAAACTATTTAAGAGAACTGAAGTTCCAGTAATTGTATATATTTTTCTAAAAACCAAATAAAACTACCTATGAAAATGAACAAATGGATCTATTGCTTATTATTTTAAGCTTCACTCTTATAAGCAACTGTTCACTCTTTTCCAGCAGCATCACTAGGAAGATTTAATAGTGGGTTTTTTTAAGGTTCTTAAAATTGATTTTAGATAGGGAAGAAGTTAGAGAGAAACACTGACCACCTGCCTCCTGCATGCCCCCTCCTGGAGGTTGAGCCTGCAACCCCGGGCATGTGCCCTGACCAGGAATTGAACCAGTTACCCTTTGGTGCACAGGATGACGCCCAACCACTGAGCCACACCAGCCAGGGCTTGATAGTGATTTTCCCCCATTTCTTCTAAGCTGTTCCTTGGGATTGTGTCAGAGCACCAATTCTGCTCAAGTGGTGGTTAAAATTGCTATATGATTGAAAAACATTTTCAAATTATATACAATATAATTTTTCACTATATTTTAGAAGTGTCAGACTTGGTTCTAAATTAATAGCATTTGACCAGTTGATTCTCAAAACATTTGCTCATTCAATTGTAGGAAAGAAACATTACAATATTCAAACATTAGAGCATTGAATCTAAAAAAAATTACTTTGGGATTATTTAGGTTTTAAAAATGTGGGTTAAGATATTTTATTAGGCAAAGAGTTTGTGAGTAGTTAACCTCCCAACCCATCCTCTCCCCAGAATCAACTAATTATGTTTCTTGTATATTCTTCCAAAATACTGTGTGTGTATATTAGCACACGAGTATAGTTATATGACCCATATTTTTAAACAAATGAGTATACTGTAAGCACTTTTCTGTACTGCATCTGCCATTGTTACTGAACCATTTATCTTTGAAATGATCTGCCCATCTACAGTTTTTTTTTAATCCTCACCCGAGGACATTTTTGCATTTATCTTCAGATAGAGCGGGAGGGAGAGAGGGGGAAGAGAAGAGAGAAACATCGATGTGAGAGAGACACATCCAGTGGTCGCCACCCACACGACCCCAACCAGAGCCGGGGACAAACTGCAACTGAGGTACATGCCCTTGACCACACACACACACACACACACACACACTAGTTCATTTAAATTCTCCCTGGTGGGTATACTGCTTCTAGTCATTGCTACTACCAAAAATCTGTAATAAAATATATCTTTGTTCCTTTTTGTCCTTGACAATTCTTTGATCCATCTGAATTCATTTTTTAAATTTATCGTGGTTAAAAATACACATAGTATAGTAACAAAGTTAATCAGTTTAAAATGTAGTCCGGACTTCCGGTCAAGGTGGCAGGTAGGTAACTGCGGTATCGCCTCTTCCCACAACCACATCAAAATAACTACAAAACAACCATCATTCAGAACTGCCTGACATCGAGCTCAATGGAAGTCGTACAGCTACGAGATTAAAGAAGCAGCCACAAGGAGACTGGTAGGAGGGTGGAGGCAGAGGTGGGCGGGCTGGTCCAACACCCACGTGTGGCAGATAAAAATCAAGAGGACACCTTGGCTGGGAAGATCCCCCCTGAGAAGTGAAGGGTGTCCGTCTAACACGAGGGCCCCAGCTCTGAGTTCCAGTGCCAGGAAGAGAATCCCCATAACTTCTGGCTATAAAATCAGCGGGAACTGAGGCTGAGGAAGGCTGAGGCGGCTGGAGCCCCAGGCAGCTCCTCTTAAAGGGCCTGCGCACGGACTTATTTGGACTTGCTCCCTCTGAGCTCAGAGGGGAGGCAGCTTGAGGGGCACCAGAGACATACAGGGAAGAACTGAGATGTTTGGCATTGGGGCGAGGGCTTTCTCCTGGACAGAGGTGCTGGTGGAGGCTGATGTTCCTTTGGTGAGCCCTTCCCTGGGGCGGTAGACAGCCTCCATACCTGGGACTCCAGCAACCTGGCTCACACTGGTAGCCCCGCCCTGGTGATTCCCTGAGGCCCCGCCCCACCCAACTTTCCGATCCACCCAAGCTGTTTCCAAAGGCTTTACCATAGGATTGGACTGTCTTGGATCCTGCTTCAGTTTCCTAAAATCTCTCAAACAAGTAGAATCTGGTCTCAGTGAGCCCCATACCTCTCGTTAAGTGGCATCAGGTCTGGCACTAGCAGCAGCCAGCTTTGGTTCACAACTTGGCTTTTCCTGGGCACCTTCAAGCCCAGCACAAGAAGCAGCCATTGGCAGATCACTTTGTATCTTACGCCTGGTGGCCCTGGGAAGAACACAAGCAGTGGCTGACCTTGCCCCAGAGCCAGCACACCCAGAGGAGAGCTTCAGACCACAGCGAAGCACCACCACCCAACCATCTCAAGTGACACACCCAGTGAGTGGACTCAGTGGGTACCAGAGCCCTGCTGAAGTAAGTCTTGCTCTGTGTGGTGGGCCCCTGCACAGCTGATCCTCCAAGGTAGTCAGAGGTCAGTGGGCACAGCCAGTCCTTGCAGCTGACTGGCTAGAGTAAATCCCTACTATTGATGTGCCAACATCAATCAAGACTCGATTACAGAGATTCCAAAATGGCGGCAGAGTGAATGGAACTACACAGACCGTCCCCCAGGACCAAACTGGAATTACAAATAAAATAAAGGCAAATCGTTGGGAAAAAGCAACTGAAAAGCAGCTTGTGAGGACCATATAACCAGGGACACTGACTCGATCTTGGAAGGACTGCAGAGGCGCGAGAGGGGGGCTGGGAGCCCACAGACAGCAGTGGCCTTAGCTGTGAGCAGCAACCTTGGGGTTACACTCCCAAGCGGCTCCACAGCGCAGACGGGACAGACGCTCAAATAGCCACAGCCACTCACATTGGGCTTCAGCAGAGGGAGGGCAGACTTGACAGGAACTGTGTGGGGACACTCGGGATTTGGAGGGCACTCGGAGCTTTTGCTGAGTTGCGGCCACACAGGACGGTGGCCATCTTGCTCCTTCCCAGGGCTCTGGGGAGAGGCAGGGGCCCCTTGAAATGCAAACTGAGTCTCCTTAACAACCAGCATCTGCCCCACCCTCAGGAAATCCCTATACACTGAGCACCTGAAAAAGTTTTTTATTCAACTGAGAACCCAAGGCTCTTCAAGTAACCACTACTGATAGCCTCCAGGCAAAAAGCTAGAGGATAACTGAACCATTCCTGAACTAGCAACTCTAACCAGGAAAGTAAGACTTGACAGTGGTGTTTAACATGGGTCCTGCCTCGCTCATCCAAACCCAGGAATGGGAGCCACAAACCAATACCAATGCCCACAGGGAAAATTTGGCAGGCTCCAAAGCCCACTGTGATAGCCAAAATGGTGAAACAAAGAACTAGAGAACTAGAAAGGAAAAAAAAAAAAAAAAAAAACAGAGCAAGTAGAAGGAAGGAAATAGTAAAGATCAGAGCAGAAATAAATGACATAGAGACCAAAAAACAAAAAACAAACAAAAAAAAACACACACACACACAATTCAAAGGATCAATGAAACAAAGAGCTGGTTTTTCGAAAAGATAAACAAGACTGATGGACCCTTAGCTAGACTCACCAAGAAACAAAGAGAAAGAACCCAAATGCACAAAATCAGAAATGAAAGAGGAGAAGTAGCAACTGACACCACAGAAATACAAAAGATTGTTAACAACTACTGTGAACAATTATATGGCAACAAATTCGACAATCTAAGTGAAATGGACAAATTTCTAGAAACACACAGCCTCCCAAAACTGGACCTGGAAGAGATAGAAAACTTGAACAGACCAATAACAACAGAAGAAATTGAAGACTCTCCCAGTAAATAAAAGCCCAGTACCGGATGGCTTCACAGAGAAGTTTTACCGAACATTCAAGAAAGAACTAACACCTATTCTCCTCAAACTACTTCAAAAAATTCAAGGAGAAGGAAAACTTCCAAACTCATTTTATGAGGCCAGCATAATTCTAATTCCAAAACCAGAGAAAGACACTACAAAGAAAAACTAATGAACATAGATGCCAAAATCCTGAACAAAATACTAGCAAATCGGATCCAGCAATACATCCAAATTATTCACCATGACCAAGTGGGATTCATCCCAGGGGTGCAAGGCTGGTACAATATTTGCAAATCAATAAATGTGATACACCACATAAATAAAATGAAAGATAAAAACCCATGATCATATCAATAGGTGCTGAAAAAGCATTCGACAAAATCGAGCATCCATTTCTGATAAAAATGCTCAGCAATGTGGGAATAGAGGGATCATATCTAGACATAATAAAGGCCATATATGAAAGACCTACAGTCAACATCATACTCAATGGGCAGAAACTTAAAGCATTTCCCTTAAGAACAGAAACAAGACAGGGATGCCCACTTTCACAACTCTTATTTAACATAGTACTGGAAGTCTTAGCCACAGCAATCAGACAAGAAGAAAAAAATAAAAGGCTTCCAAATTGGAAAGGAGGAAGTGAAACTGTCATTATTTGCAGATGACATGATATTATACATAGAAAACCCTAAAGACTCCATCAAAAATCTACTAGACTTAATAAATGAATTTGGCAAAGTAGCAGGGTACAAAATTAACATCAAGAAATCAACGGCATTCTTATACACCAATGATGAACTCACAGAAAGAGAAACTGAAAAAACATTTACCATCGTGGCAAAAATATTAAGATACCTAGAAATAAACTTAACCAAAGAAGTAAAGGACCTATTTGCTGAAAACTACAGGACATTGAAAAAAGAAATTGAGGAAGACATAAAGAAGTGGAAGCACATACCTTGTTCATAAATAGGAAGAATTAACATCATTAAAATGCCCATATTACTCAAAGCAATCTATAAATTCAATGCAATCCCCATCAAAATATCAACAACATATTTCACAGAACTAGAACAAATACTTCAAAAGTTGATATGAATCCAAAAAAGACCCTGAATAGCCACAGCAATCTTGAAAACGAAGGACAAAGTAGGTGGGATCACAATACCAGATATCAGGTACTACAAA